CCCTTATCCTGCCCCCGTCCCTGCAGTCTGGAGAGCCCTGGCAATCCATCTACCCTCCTTGTTCCCTCGTTTCCGGGCTGCATCAATCCCTGATACTTGTTTTCGTTGATGCCTCGCTCTAACCCCTCCATCCCTGGTCATCCCCCAAAGAAAATTCTCGAGGCCCTCTGCCGCCCCCCCGAGGGCCAGGCTGCGCACCCCATTAGACTCGCACTTTTCGGACCACGCGACGCTCAAGAGCGGCGCGCGCATCTACAAGCATGCACCCAGCGCGCGTGCAGCAGCCGGGGCCCCGGGGCGGCAGGCAAGGGCGCTCCCGCGGAAGAGGCCAAGGGGGAGCCGGTGCAACGGGCGCCATTTCATGCGCTCGGGCGTCTCACCTGATGCCTGTTTCCCCGAGGGAGGGCGGGCGCCTGGGGCCACGGGATTGTCGAGGGCGTGCGAGGGAGCGGCAGCTGCTTCCTAGACCCTTACCTGGGTGCTGCACCGCACTCCACTGTGTCACGCGCGTTGAGGGCCCCGGACTGTTGGGCTGCGCCCAGCTGCCCGCCTGGCAGCTGGGCGGGTGCGTTGCCCGGTATTTGGCCCTGCGCTCGTGCCGGCAGCGTTGCTGCCGGCTCCCTCATCGGCTCTGTGGTACCCTTAGGCGGCCCAGCCCCGCCAGGCTGGGCCCAGGCCGCTGTAAGCTTCCACATCCCGAGGTCACCTATGGCAGCCCTGGCGCCCGCTTGCCCGGCGGGTGCCAGTAGCAGAGGGCCCCTCGCACATGCTTAGAGATGGATGGACACAGCAGCACTGGCAGCTTTGCGCAGAGGATTAGGATTAGGATTGTTACAGCGTCCCGCGGTCGCTTGCTCCTAGAGCCATCCAGGCTCGTGGGATTGTACAGTAAAGCACCAGCGTTGTGTGACTGAGATTCAGGTGGCTATTGTGCGCCGTTCAAAGCAGGCGTGCACGAAGGCCCCCAGTGTGTGCTGATTTGCGCTGCGCGCAAAGGCGCGCATGCGCGCAAGCGCGGGTAGATTTGCAAACAAGGGCGCAAAGCGCGGCTCGGCCCGCAGGTCCGCCGCGTATGCGGGGCAATCAAGCAGAACAGAGGCAGCGAGCTTGGGCCGAGCAAGGGCAGCACAGGCTCGGCCCGGGCGGGCCTCACTCTGTATGACTCTGTGGGTCTTGGCTTGAAGTGCGCTCTGGCTAAGCTAGCGCGATTCGCTGTCCACAGTGTGATCCTATGCGACCCAGTGCGGCTTGGTGGCTTGGCTGGCTGAACCAACCCTTGCCCAACCCAACTATGTGCTTGGCCTTGGTGGCGACGCTGCTGAACAGCGATAGGACGAGACCGTTACTCCTTGATCAGCAGAAAGGTGTCGAAGCCAAGACCAGCCGCGCGGGCGCGCGGCTGGGCCAAAAGCAGGGCAAGCCTGGGCGAAGGGGCACTTGCACCCTGGCAGCTTCCGCTGCCAGGGGGCCGGACGGCATCATTCATCTAGACGGTTTCCTCCCATTTGAGCATACCTTCAGCACAGACTCGTGGGCTGCCCGCCCGTGCGCCCGCGTGTCAGTGCTGGGGGGGGATGTGGCGTGCATGCACCAGCCACGCCGTGACAGCCGTGAACAGTCCGGGCGCCCAATGCCCAGGGGCGCTGGCTGGGCGCGACAACCGCGTGCATGGTCCGAGTGGTCCTGTGTTTCCGCCGGCCGGCGCCATGCCAGCCTCGCTCCTGCCCTGCCACCAAACCCGCTCCAACTCTCAACACGGCCGTTTCAATGTACAACACAGGTGCACAACTCGCTCCGCACCCGCATGTTCCGTGCCCTTGCGGAGCCTGTCCTCACCTACCGGGCCGAGTGCTGTCTGGGGCCCTGTCTTGTTGGGCAGCATGGATGACGCCCTCAAGGCGCCCCTGCAAGTCCTGCAAAACGACTATGTCCATCCGGCACCTTGGGGGGGTTCGGCGCAGCGTCCCCGCCACCATCCTCTGCGCCGAAAGCGGTTTGCCACCGCTGGCGTGCGCATGGTTGCGCGCGGGCGCGCGGCTATGGAATCGCATGGTCAAAGCCGATGAGGGCATTATCAAGTGGGAGTTTGTGGGCGACCTCTCCCTTGCCCGTTGTCTTGGCCCGGCGCGGGCGCGTCGGACTTGGAGCGGTGCGTGGCTGCATGCACTTGACTGGTTGACCGCCGAGGGGGGCGCCCCTGAAGCATTTTTGGCGGCCTATGCGGCGGGGGTGCACAACACCCTGAACCAGGGCTCGGCGGCGATGGCGGGCCTGCGCCTGCAGCTGGGGGAATGGGAGCTGCATGCGTGGGACCAAGCACTGGCCAACCGGGCTGCGCAGGCCGTCCAGCGTGGTGGCGCTTGCGCAGAATATGAGGCTTGCTTCGCCGCGGGTGATGCGGATGAAGTGCCCGAGGCCGGCTTTCCGTCGCTCATGCCCTACTACTTTCGCCACACGTCCCGATTCCGGAACCACCAACATGCGCGGGCTCTGATGCGCCTGCGCTGCTGCTCACCCCCTTTTGACTGCGTCACCGACTCTTCACTACAACACCCCCACCCATCGCCCCCACTGCGACGGCCTAGGCCGTGACGAAACGGCTGAACATGCTCTGCTTGATTTCCCCGCATCCGCGCACCTGCGGGCCGAGCCGCGCTTTGCGTCCTTGTTTGCGAATCTACCCGCGCTGGCGCACATGCGCGCACATGCGCGCCTTTGCGCGCAGTGAAGAGCAGCACACATTGGGGGCCTTCATGCACGCCTGCTTTGAACGGCGCACGGTAGCCACCTGAACCTCAGTCACACAACGTTGGTGCTTCTCTGTACAATCCCATGAGCTTGGAGGGCTCAAGGAGCGGGCGACCGCGGGATGCTGTAACAATCC